TGTGTATGCATTAATTAGTATTATTGATGTTATAATTCATATTTTTTTAAGGTTAAAGAGGACCTCTGAGATTGATTCGGAATAAACTTTACAACATAACACTTTGTGTTTTATTTCAGAATACTATTGTACCTAGTTTAATTACAAAGTTTATACTTCTTAAGAAGTCCCATAAGCCAACTGAATGGCTTGTGCCGGTTATGGGGTAGGAACGGACCGCGGGTTTAAAGTCCCCTTCGAAGGACTAATACACAATAGGACAAACACAAATAAACAGCCATACCCCTGGTGGGATTCGAACCCACGACCTCCGGCCTGTAGTCAGCAGCACTAACCACTAGACCACCGTCGGCGTGGATGGCATAATTGTCTAAAAAAATATTCTCCAATTGGACATAAATCACATCTTTATTTAACATTTTTCATTTGACTTTATTTACAAATATAACAAAATCTGTTATCTTAAAAAATAACACGTTTTATTTTGTGTTCCAATTTAAAATTAAGTGCAAAAAAAATTGAGTATACGCACGAAATTCACCGTAAATACGTACGCGAAGATGCGTCCTCCCCTTGAATTCACCGTAAATGCACAAGTGAAGCTCGAAGTGAGTGCGCATGCATGCTAAAATTCGCGCGAAAAAATTGAAATTTTGGTGAATGCACATTTTTTGTTCAGAAAACTTATTTTACTATATAGTGGAAAATATGTTTTCTGAACATGCACCCTTATTTCATTTTTTTCGCGCGAATTTAGAACACGCATGCATTTACGGTGAATTTAAGGGACGGACGCATCTTCACGTGTGCATTCACGGTGAATTCATGTGTGCATTTAAGGGGCGGACGCATCTTCACGTGTGCATTCACGGTGAATTCAATGGGCGCATTTATCTTCACGTATGCATTCACGGTGAATTCCAGGGGCGGACGCATCTTTTAGCAACCGTGAATTCACGCGTGAAGCAATATTTTTCACCGTGCATTCACGGTGAACTCACGAATGTTATCTGGGTGAGAGAATTAAAACCTCAAAAGTGGGGAGAGAGCAACCCTGTCTCCAGATTCCTTTTGGTGAAGATAATGATTCCTTGTGTGTGGCCACACTTTTGCTAACATATTTGGAAAAAACTGCACACTTCAGAACCTCAGACCAGTCATACCTGTTTCTAAACACCAGGAAACCTTTTAACCGAGCATCTAAACAGACTCTCAGCAGATGGGTCAGAGATACATTGTGTAAGTCTGGTATCGACACAAGAATTTTCGGTTCCCACTCAACAAGACATGCCTCAACTTCAGCAGCACTGCGAAAAGGCATTTCTTTGGCCACCATCAAGAGGACAGCTGGCTGGACAGAGAATTCTGCAACTTTCGCAAAATTTTACAACATTCCTTTATCAAATAGCCAAGCATTTGCTAAAAGTATTTTGGGATACAAATTTTAGCCAAATTCATTCCTGAGAAAGTACTTTACAGGCACTTATTTTTTGTTTTGTTTTATTATGAAGGATAGGTAAACTTCCTCCAAAAAATTTTGGTTTTTTTTGTTGGAACCTAGTTAAAATACAATTCAGCCAGTTGTAACTGTTATTTACTTACTTACAAGAATTTTTTATTCGTTAACTCATTTGGAGTATTTTTACTCTAAACATTCAAATAAAAACTTTTATTTTCTTATGCAGGTCTATCATTATAATATTTAGGTTAATATTAAAGGTTTAGTCCTTAACCTAACACAATATAATTTTCTTTAAACATCTACCAATTTATCAAAATGACAGCGATCCATTTGGAGGAGGGTGAAATGTAATTAATCGATCAAACGAACTTACCTCCCGACCCTTATGATCTCTCACCTCAATGATCATATAATTCAACCCTAGTCAATATTGTGTTAGGGCTTTCCTCCACAAAAATTGTAATGGCTGGAGAAGGGTCGGTAAAGTAGGACGTTTTTTGCCTACTTTAAACTGGTTTGTGCTTTTCGTCACGAGAGGTCGTTACTACCAATTTATCAAAATGACAGCGATCCATTTGGAGGAGGGCTCATGTAATTACGATCGAACTTCACAAGGTAAGTTCGTTTGATCGATTAATTTTTCTTGACTTATACCGTGTGCAGTGGAAATGGTAAAAGGGTCGTTACGAATAAATTTGGGAAAATATGTATTTGCTATTTCAGGATTTATAAAGGAACGCGTGGAACCGGTATGTAATTACGATCGAACTTCACAAGGTAAGTTCGTTTGATCGATTAATTTTTCTTGACTTATACCGTGTGCAGTGGAAATGGTAAAAGGGTCGTTACGAATAAATTTGGGAAAATATGTATTTGCTATTTCAGGATTTATAAAGGAACGCGTGGAACCGGTATCTATTATTATTATTAAGGCATTTAAGGTTTGCGTTTTTAATTGGAATTATTATATATGGAAGCTGTGATTTTGAAAAGTCTATGTTGAGTGATTCTATCAATCCGAAGCTTCTTTGTCTAAAAAAGGCTCCTCATGATAATTAATTTCGTCACAATTATTGTCATAGTCATTGTCTTCATCAAATTCGGTTATTTCAACATTGGATGTTGAAGGTTCGTTTTGGGATTCTTCGATATTATGATAATTATTGTGGGGTCTGAAGTTATTTTTATAATAATTTTGATTAGGAGAATTTTGAGGAAGGGTGTTGCGAGTACTGATAGTCATTGGAGCATTGGCGGATTCCCCCCGGAAGCAAGTTATCAAGTTGAAATTGAACATAACTTTTTAAATTAATATCAAATTATAAAAATATAAATAAAATAAAAATATTTAATCGTTCAATTTAAAAGAATTGCATGGCTTTCTATTTTAAATCGGTCCCTTTTTTAATCTTGTTTACACGAGCGCACTTTAGTTGATGCATTAAAAAATGTTGTCGATACATGAGCCACAACAATGTGACAATTTGAATCAAGGCTTCGCGCCTTTTTCTGAGTCTGAGATGGCGCCTCCATCAACAGCGCAAACTCTGCGCGCAGTCTCACTAGCTGTATGTATTCCGTAAGCGGTATTTGCGTTTTAGAGATTTATGGATTTGTGTTATTAGTTATTTAGTTTGTTAATATTGACGTTATTTTAAGTTTTGTTATTGGTGTTATCATTGTTGTTTTTATTATTTGGTAAGTAAAATAAGTAGATTTTATGTATTAAGATTGCCTAGGTTAGGTATTCTAGAATTACTCCAGCTAATAAGTTGCTTTCAGAATTTTCTGTAACAATAGCTACGTGTGAACGTAGCTTTTTGGTTGTATTCAACGCAGTATTGTAAGCTTGTTGTACATAAAACTTAGAAAGTAGTTTAAGACATTTCGGATCATGGTAAGTGTATATATTTAACTTGATTTTTTTTAAATTTAAGATGTTTGTTTTAAAATGGTCTACTTCTTAAACATAATTTATATTGATTTGATTTTAAGGAAAAACACCTCCCTGAAAAAAGACCGGCTACTAGACCGATTGAAAGCTATTTTTCAAAGACTGGCAAAATTGATGCCAATTCATCTACGACAAACTTTCTTGACACAAATGATGTCATAGAAAATAATGATGCCCCTGGTAGCTCAAATTCCACGAAAAAAGTGATAGAAAACGAAGAGGCTACTTCAACGTCTTCCTTGCCTCTTATTTCCACATCGAATGCAAATGTTTCCAATGCCCATGATCAAGTATTCAACGCGTATGATATTGGCACATTTGTAGGAAATACTGTTCAATTGGATGACTTTACTAAATTTAATTTGCTTCGAAAGCCATGGCAGGCACCCGTAGACTATACATTTCCTTTTTCGTGTCATAATAAAAAAGGAAAAATGGAACGTAGGTTTATGCAGAGACATTACTTGACCGATTATCCTTGGCTCGTCTTATCAGACAGTCATAAGGGTCTTTATTGTAAATATTGCGTTTTGTTTGCTAGTGATACAGGTGGCTGTCAGTCAAATACTGTACTAAATACATTGGTGAAATCGCCACTGAAATCATTTGCAAAACTGTCCGGTAACGATGGTGCGCTTACACTACACGCTTCCAGAAAATATCACCAAAACGCAATTAAAGCCGGCGAAGATTTTATAAAAACTTATGAAAACCCTGCCTTAGAAGTCATAAATCAAGTTTATTCCCAACGCATGACTCAGGTTCTAGAAAACAGGAACAGATTGCGCCCCATTATTGAGACGATCATTCTTTGTGGAAGACAAAATATTGCATTAAGAGGACATAGAGATGATGGCGTGTTGAAGATTCAGAATTCAATAACAAATGACGGAAACTTTAAAGCCCTTTTACGCTTTCGCGTTGCTGCAGGAGATAAAACATTGGAGAAACATTTAGAAACCGCATCATCCACAGCAACTTACATTAGTAAAACAACACAAAATGATCTCATTGATTGTTGTAAAGAAGAAATACAAGATAAATTGATTGGCAGGGTTAAGAGGGCAAGATGTTATTCTGTAATATTTGATGAAACTAGCGATGCAGCTCACATTGAGCAACTTAGCCTTAGTTTGCGTTTCATTGACGAAGACAAAATCGGGGAGGACTTTTTGACATTTGTAGATGCGTATGATTCTATCCGTGAAGATGATGTTGATAATAATGAAAAACGGTTAACTGGTATTGCGTTAGGCCATTCCGTAATTGATCTTCTTCGAAAATTTAAGCTCCCCTTAGAAAATTACGTTGGGATTGGCACAGATAATTGTTCTGTCATGGCATCCGATATTAAAGGTGCTGTTCAAGAAATCATTAAATGTTGCAAAAATGCCAAAAGGTGCCCGTGCTTCACTCGCCAAAACGTCAAAAGTCAAGCAAATAAGGAATACTATTTCGACGATGAAAAAAATCATCACTTTCGCGAATACCTCAGCTAAAAAATCAAAAGTATTTAAGAATAATGTGGGTGAATCGTTGAGTGGATTGTGCGAAACGCGTTGGTCCGAAAAACACGATGGCATAATGCAGTTTCAGCATTGTTTAACGAAAATTGTTGCAGCACTCGACGAAATTTCAGAGTGGCAAGACAGTAAGACAGCTTCCGATGCCCATTCTTTGATAAAAGCAGTATGTGATTCCGAATTTTTAATTTCGACGTCTTGTTTAAATGATGTTCTTTCAACGACGCGACCATTAAGTTTACTTTTGCAAGCACCATCAGTCGACTTTATAATCGCTACTGATGCTTTAAAGAACTCTTTGAATATTATCGAAACTCGTAGGAAATCAGCAGAAATTTATTTTTCCAAATTATTCAGTAAGGCAAAAAATTTAGCTCAAGAACTAGATTCGAGCATTGAAATTCCTCGCATTGTAAAACGCCAAAAACATCGTGCAAATTATTCTTCTGTCACTGCTGAGCAATATTACCGCAAGGCAATTTTCATTCCATTACTTGATTATGTGATACTTGATCTTCAAGAACGTTTGCCAAAAGACACATTGAAAGTATTTGATTTGAATTTGCTAATGCCTTCAGTGTTAATTGAAGAAAACAACGTTGAAAAAGAAGTTTGTCAACGTATTGAGTCACTTGGTGTTCAGTATGAATCTGTTCTTGGAAATCAAGTATCAAATTTAGTTGGCGAGTACCAAGTATGGAAAGAGCACTGGAAAAGTAATAACAATAAAAAAGTCTCCATACCCAAGTCTGCTGTAGAAGTGCTGGAAAAATGCAATGAGTATATGTATCCTAATATTCGGTTGCTTTTAAAAATCTTAGCAACTCTTCCAGTCAGTGTCGCTACTGCTGAAAGAAGCTTTTCCACTCTACGGCGTTTGAAAACATGGCTGCGTACAAGAATGGGCGAAGAAAGACTGGCAGGGCTCGCACTTTTGCATACCCATAAAGATATAGATTTAGAGACTAATAACATTTTGGAAAGGTTTTCAAAAAAAAAAGTCGAAAACTTGATTTTGTTTTATAAAAAGTTAAATGTTGTGTTATGTTTATGATTATGTAAAACTTATTACTTGTACAATGCAGAAAATAATAAAAAAAATGGAATAACTTTAATTTCAACTTTCTTATTATTTACAAAAATTTTCAACTCCGCCCCCCCCAATGACACATTCTAGATCCGCCCCTGCATTGGAGTTGGTTTATTTGGTACAAAATTTGAATTCGGTTTAAAAACATTTGTTTGCGGTTTTTGTGTATTTTGAAAAGTGTTGGGTCGTTTAAAAGCAAAGGTTGGTTGCTTATAACCAATAGCTAACGGTTTTTGGTTTTGTTTAAAATTATTTTGGTTAGGTAAATAAGTAGCTTTATCATTTATGTTAAAATCATTGGTTAGGATGTTAAGAGCATCATTAAGATTAACTGGATTTCTTGTTGATAAATAGTCGCCAAGTGGACCATTTAGATGTTTTAAGAAAACGCGCAAAGCAAGTTTTTGAGAATAACAAGCTAAAATTCTAACACCATGTGTATTAATATAGCTAACTTGTAAGTTAAGGTTTTCTTGTATTTTATTATAAAATTCAAGCGGTTTCAAATTACCTTGCCTTAAGTTACATAGTTGAAGTGTTTGAATTAGTGATGTAAGAATACGTATCCAAATATCCGTTGAATCCAAATATTTAAAGGATCCGGATATTCCGGAATCAATCTGTAAATTCGAATACGGATTCGAAATCAAAATTTACGGAAACAAATTTCGAATGCGCGAAGTAAATGCGCTATGAAAAGCCGAGTGCGGATGGTTACAACCGGCGCATTCGGAATCGCGGGAAAGGCGCTTGGTCTGAGTCCGCTACTTACGATACCATAGGCGTACGATGCTTATTTAAAAAATAAAGACATGATGTATAAAAATATTGTTTTTATTTATTTAAAATTACCAGACAATCAAGGCATAACTTTAAAATATAAAAAATAATACAAGGATAACATTATTTGGTTAACTAGTAGGTGTTTACCATAGTAATTAAAAAAAATCAACTTAAACTTAAACTCTTTGTTTTGTTAAAAAGTACCAGACACTCCACTCCACTCCACAGAACAAACCCCACTCCTCTCTGCATTCCTTACGCCGTGGCACCCGCTTGCACGTTGCGCATTTTATGATTTAACTTATAGATCATAGATACCTAGATCATAGATACCTATCCGAATATCTCTTGGTTCCGAATACGTATTATCCGAATATCAAAAAGATACGAATATTTACATCACTAGTTTGAATATCGCGTTTATCAGCATATGTAGCTAGAAGAGCTTTCTTTAAGTCGTCCCATGTTTTAATATTAAATGAAGCTATTTGCTCAGCAGCATTATCTTTAATTTTATTTTTAATGCATTTAATTAAATAAGTGTTAAAGAAATCTTCAGGTTGATCTTTTTTGTAGAATTTTTTGATCAACTGCTCACTGGCAGTGATAAATTCACTCAAGATTGCCTGATTACCATTAAAATCTGGTACTATTTGCAAATATTCTTTTTTAAATTCGTCAGACATTTCTGGATTTAAATTTAAAGAATTATTAATTTGAAAATTTACGTTACTACGCACAAGGGGTGATCTTGATCGAGAACGATTTGAGTGACTTGAATTATTCGAATCTGAGTTAGTAAAATTGGTTGACATCTATGACTTACCAAAACAATAGCAACATACTCTGGAGGTCCTGGTCGTTTTGCCTGGAAGTCGCTCCTTTTCTAGAAACTTCGTTTTCTTCCTTAGAACTTGCACCACAATGAAAGTCAATTCCGGACCGGTTGTTCACTGTTTTGGGAAAGTTCTTGGTTCGTTGGCACTTTAAAGTGTTGAAACACACCGATTTTTGAAACAAAAGTCCTACGCACAGGTTTACTATAATCGAAAATCGTTCGCACCAATCCCACAACGACTGCGCCAATTATATTTTCGGAAATCACAAACGAGTTTTTAAAAAATTATTTTTATTGTTTATAGCTTTACAGTAAATCAAAGAGTGTTTTAAATTGTGTATAACAAGTACTTTTATATGTTCGTATGCAGAGTCTGCAGGTTGGGTTTCAGTCAGCATATTCGTGGAAATTCTTTAACATAATTGGTACATATTGCAAAAAATACATCCGTTTTTTGGTAAATATAAAAAAATTGTATCGCCGAGGAATCTCCTCTAGTAGTAAAGCCGTCTTATGTCAGGGTTCCCACTGACCTGGATTTCCTGGAAAAGTCATGGAATTCAGAAGTGGTCAGGGAAAGTCATGGATTTGAGTAAAATGTCTCAAAAGTCATGGAATTTGACCATTTTTCGATAAAAGTCATGGAATTTTTTTCCGATTCCTATAACAATGCGTAATACAAAAAATATTATTTATATATATTTCCAAAGCAGGTCCTGTAGTAAAAAACGTTAAAAAAGTTTAAAATACGGCCCTAATTGTCAAGCGTTCTTTTTCTATAGTGTTGCTTATTGTCTCTAATAGGGGTCGCGTTTTGTCTGAAATAAGTCAAACAAGTGATGGTTTTTATGTTCATCTTAAGAAGAAGAAGAAGAAAGTTATCTAAAATGAATAACAAGGATTTATTCTATAAACAATGTCAAAGCAAACCAAAAATAAACAAACCTATTTAAAAAAAATGTAAAATTAACAAATTCAGTATCTGCGAAAAATGTTAAAAAAGGCATCAATGATGAGGCGATGTTGGCAAAATTGTCATTTTTTTCTTATATTGGTGAGACTAAGGAACCATTTTTGACAAAACTTCAATCAAATGAACCTTTGGTTCCTTATTTATATACAGATATACAAATTTTAATTATTACCCTGTTGGAAAAATTTGTTATGAAGGAGAAAATTCCGAATGAGCCGAAAAAATGGTTTAGTTTAAATTTGAAGAATTCTGGAACACGAAGATATTTGTCAAAAATTACTACAAATGGAAATAGAGTTAAATTTTTCATGGAATCCCAACAATTAATGGTTATGTCAAAAAAGCTGAAAGAATGAAAATAACTCTAGAAATTCTGTACGAAAAAAATATTATTAGCAGCGGAGAGGCTGATAAGTCGTCACCCTAATATAACAAGGTTGTATGTTAAAAAACCGAAAAATTTGAGTTTATACTTCTACAAGGTTTTATGTAATCCACCCATGACATACAACTTGAAAATATCTCTATATATATGTATACATAGAATATACATACATTCTATAGAATTATTTTTAAGTGGTATGTGAAGCGTAGGCCACGTTTAATCCTGTAGAAACATAGACTTAAATTTTTCGGTTTTTTTTAACATACAACCTTGTTATATTAGGGTGACGAAGTGTCAGACTCAGTTTAAAAGGTTTTGCATTAATTTTAAGATTGAGATAAAAACATTTGCTACTGCAAAAAAACGTGAAAGATTAGACAAATTTTATTAAAAACTATTATTTAACACTAACGAATTTAAAGAATTATTCTTCATTATAAAAAAAAATAATTTTATCTCATGGCAATGCTGTTTTAGAAAGTGGTTTTTCAGTCAATAAACAATTATTAATTGAAAATTTAAAACAAAAATCGCTTATCGCGCAAAGATTAGTGTACGACAACGTGTTAAGCAGGGGGGGTGCATCTAAAATTAATGTCAATTCACAAATGATTAGCTACTGCCGTTCTGCTAGCCAGAAATATAGGGAAGATTTAAAAAAGTAAGAGGACGAGGAAAACGCGAAAAATACATCATATGCATACAAAAGAAAGTTGGCTGCAGGTAAAAAGCTCATAGAAGAAAAAGCTAAGAAAGAAGTACAGCAATTAGAAAAAGATAATGAAAAACTGCAGAACAAAATCAAAACAAAAAATTATTTGGGTAAATAGGACGGCGTATTTTGGTTTTTTTATATATAACGAATATATATATTCCTTATATGTTAAAAAAATTCATGAAAATTACCCAAAATACGCCTACACCTATTTCCCCCCTTAAAATTCAGTTTTCTTCCAATAATTATTAAATTCTGTTATACACCAAATAACAACTCTTGTTCTATGTTATAGGTACACCCGATATAACAAGAAGGTTTATGGCTAAGATAGCTCATTCATAATGGACGTAACCATAAGATATATAAGAGATATAAAAAAAGTTTTAAGCAAAAATGCAAGGTTAACAAAGATCTATATTATAATAAATTAAAATTAGTTTCTAGAATACAGGGTGAGTCACAAAAAAGTTATTGTTAAATTCCAGTGCGGCGTTTTGCCTAAAGTACCTGATACCTATTTATCGTGATGTTTTTTTAAATATGTTAAAACCTTCCAAATTTAACAAATTTAAATATGCACTATAATAATTATCTCGATAATTATAATAATAATGTTTATTGTGTAAAAAAATCACTTTTTTAAATGGAACACCCTGTATTTTCTTATTTCTTTACATTTGCCTATCAAATACCTTGTAGTGGAACCATTAGGGTCATTATTTTATATTTCCGTAATTTTATATTAAAACATTATTGGCTTTAAAATACAAGTTAATAACTTTATAATTGCTGACTTTTATTAAAAAATAATTCAATGAACCCTAGGTGCGCCACGTCATTTCCCTGAGGTAGCATATTTTCATATGCACCTTATAATTAGTAATCAATTTGTTAGTTAGTAAGATATTAGATATAATTCGAATAAGACAGTATTTAGGGCTGTACCTATACTTGTACTTTATTCTCTAATATATATAGTTATGGGAAATATATTGTCTAATTTCTAACCAGAAACCTTTTAACATCATATGGCGATCCTGCCAGTGCCTCTTTGTAAAAGAGAAA